TAGTAGTAGTAGTAGTAGTAGTAGTAGTAGTAGTAGTAGTAGTAGTAGTAGTAGTAGTAGTAGTAGTAGTAGTAGTAGTAGTAGTAGTAGTGTGTGGTGGTGCCCGCACCTCCATAGGCATCAGTGAATTGTGCCCGAGTACATAAGAACGTTGGACAGCACTGCTCTAGACTTATATTCTGGACGCACATGGTTCGAATCCTGACCGGAACATCGGATATGATGTCAGATTTCTTGGTTTCCTTCAGTCCCTGCACCCAAATTTTAGAGATGTCAGAGGGCTACATCAATTCAGATACCAATGCTTCCTTCCAGATCCTTTTCAATTCGTCATCCATCACCATATCATACACTCGAGATAATAAAACGTCTTTAAATGATCTTCTAAATAATGTACATAGCGTGAGACACTGATAATGTCCTGAAATACAGCATAAAATAGTACAAGATAATGTTTGTATTTTGGAAGTCGGTGATCTAACGACGCTGCCTAACAGTTGAATATGTAACGTTAAGAAACTGTTCCTGTGCTTAATTAATTAAGCACTACGCCATAAAGGCGTATGCTGGAGTAACATTGTAGCTCCACCGTTCTTGACCTCGGCACTAGATGGAGATGAGTTTTCAGCTTCATGATCCGGCCACTTTACCCCCGGGGAAATACCTCCCGGTACCCATTAAATAGGAGGCTAGGTCTGGATGCTTTAGAGTAGAGGAAAAAAATGTTACCCTTGCCGGGACTCGAACCCCGGCCATCCATCCTATAATCCATGACTAAATAACTGAGCTATCCCGGCTCCTTATTAATGTTAGGTAATCATAAACTTGCCGGTCACGGTAGCCGAGCGGTCTAAGGTATGCACTGTCTTTGCTCGCTCGGAAGCCGGGATCGTGGGTTCGAATCCCACTCAGGACATGGATGTTAATGTGCGTTTTTCTGTGTTTGTCTACAGGTAGAGTCCTTGCGACGAGCTGATCACCCGCCCAAGGAGTCCTACCCTATGTCTAAGATCTAGTAAAACCGAAGTGAAACGGAGAGTTTCATGGAGGTAGGCCTAGGCCCAAATGAGGGTTGTAGAGCCAATGAAAAAAAAATACAAATAAACTTACCCAGCGTCTTATTGATCCAATCTGCGAGATCTTCTTGCAAAGGGTAGAGTTGGCGGCTCTGTGACGAGTAGATGCGATCCTGGTAATACTCCACGCATTCCTCTTCTGTTTCGGGCATGTGGTGCCCCTGAGGAGGCACAGTCCCGGGGCGGTTCATTTCGGACGGCAGGGACATGGGCCCCCAGCTGTTCACTGAACGTCGACTCCGACCCGGAGTGGATCGGAACATTGACGCCATCGTGACCAGAGTCATCCGTGTTTCCCCACACCTGCAGAAAGCAAGCTACAGGTCAGACGTTTAAAATTCTGTCACCCTTGGGACCAGACTAGGACGGTCTTTATAGCACGTTACCAAAACTCTTAAATAAGCTAACGTAACATAATACAGCTTACTTAGCTTACTTTCCTTGTTCTGAAAAGATAACAGTAAGCTTATATCATCACCTTGCTATCTATGCGTCTTTATATCCTATTGTTGCTAGGCAACGGCTAGATAAACAAGTTCTCGCCGTAACGATTATGTAAGGTCAGGAGATAAGAACTACAGTTCTATCGATTGGGCCCAACTAAGTAGGTTCTACCTGAAGACGGAGACAGAAAGCACCGTCGGTCGTAACATAAAACTCAGACTCTATTAGTTCAGTTCAGTTGAGTAAATCGAAGAGATTAAAAGAGATTAATTGTTGTGAGACATTTGTCAGACAGTAAGGACGTTAACGCTTAAGTTGAGGAAGCTATGGAGTTGGAGCCGTTATCAGGTGACAACCAGTGAAGATGTAGCAAAATGAGAAAACTTACTACGTGCTATAGTGAACTGTAGAGTGTGTGAATTAGCAATAGCACTATAGTTACTTGTAGTTATTTTCTGTAAGAGTTTAATAAATCCAATTACCAAATCAAACCCCATCTATAGTGACACTCATACACGTAGCAATATCCTTGTGTGAGTAGGCAATCATATGGAAGAAGAGCCTTTTTGTGATCATCGAAATCTGCAGTATTTCGAAGATGGTTCTCGTCATTTCTTTACAATAAGATCTTTTAATTTTCTAATGATGATGTCAGAAGCCACATTGATGACGTGCCCCTAATGACTGTTAAGTCAAAGTATAATACGAGTATACCACAAAAATTTAACTTCAAACGAAGCCTAGAACTGTCCTACAAAGCAGTTACGTGGCATTGATCTGGAACTGTCATTAATATTCCCCGCATTTCAGCATTATAAATTAGCGCCACGTGACCTATGCTAATTAACTTTCTTCGGTCACCAATTGATTTTCATCAACACTTATAACATTCCAGTTTGACCACCGAAATAATTCAGGACAAATGGTCCTGAGATGGGGACTAGCTCTATCGATTGGGTCCAACTTAGTAGGTTGTAGGAGACAGAATCCAGTCTACGAAACGTTGTGTTCTGTAATACAAACAAGAGATCCTGAGATAGGGACTAGCTCTATCGATTGGGTCCAACTTAGTAGGTTGTAGGAGACAGGATCCAGTCTCCGAAACGTTGTGTTCTGTAATACAAACAAGAGATCCTGAGATAGGGACTAGCTCTATCGATTGGGTCCAACTCAGTAGGTTGTAGGAGACAGAATCCAGTCTACGAAAAGTTGTGTTCTGTAATATAAACAGGACGATGAATAATATACAAAAACATAATATTTATACTACTGCAACATCGTCATAAACTTTTAGGTCTTGTAAACAAATGGAATATTTGCCTAACGGTTTAAGAGTCAAGAGGAAACAGTCAACTTCCACTGACATAATAAAGCTTTTGTCAAGAGATTCCCCCTCCCCGCCAACAACTTTCATACCACCGTCATGTTAGTGAGTTCTCCAAGAACAAGGATCGGCTGTTCCTTTATTAAATTCATTGAAGAGTAGAAAAGTAATATATTGTAACGTGTTTTGTTACTGAAGACGCCGTTCGGATTGTTAATTGGTTTATTTAACAACCTACAAGTAGCGACCTATCACACTGTAAGGAGTCACCAGAGTAGAGCATGACAGTAAAAGGTAAACCTGTCCCTGTGCTTAACTAATTGAGCACCACATCATGAAGGCGTATGGGGAAGTGGATATTATAGAGGCATTTTTCTTGACCTCGGCATTAGATGGAGGTGACTGGTCACCCTCACGCCGCGGCCGCTTTACACCCGAGGAAAGAGTCTCTGGTACCCATTGGATAGGAGGTTGGGTGGGCCCCAGAACCAGTTTGGACGACATGGAGAACTGAAAATTCTTGACCCTACTAGGACTCGAACTCCGACCCCTCTGTCGTCCAGCTCGTAGCCAGTCGCTATACCTACTGCCCTATCCCGGCTCTTAGCTCTCTAGACTTGTATTTGGGAGAGAGGTGCTGGGTTCGAATCCCGGACTGGACAAAGCTATCCTGACTGAGAATTTTCTTTCCTACAGTGAAATCCTAGGACGGTACTTCATTTATACCACGACCGGTTTCTTCAAATCATTTTCCATTCATCGTTCATCAATTATTATGCACCATTCGATGTAAGCGCGCATTCAGATGCGCATGTAAGGCGGTGTGCATGTCTTGAAGTTCTGTCGAACCTCCAAGTGAAATTGCCACGATATTAACCATGGATGTTAATCGACAAATAAAACATCAGTTTATATTTAGAGTTTTGTTTCGGAATTAGCAAAAAACTCATTAACTTAAAGTTAGGCTAAGAGGCTAAGAAACGTCTGACGGCGTCATAAGTGATATGAATTGTACTAGTGACTATAAGAGAGCGTGACCAATAAATATTCGTCTCATCCCGTAATCCACGTGAATTATTGTCGCGTTACCTAGCAAACACGAGTCTCATTTCAAATTAATACATATTTAACTCTTTCTCTTTTCCACAGCGTCCAGACCGGCTCTAGAACCCACCCAGCCTCTTATCCAATTGGTACCGATGGTTCTGTCCATGGGGGTTAAGCGATCGGGGCGTGAAGCTGACTATTCATTTCAATCTAGTACCAAGTTCAAGAATGTTTGAGCTTTACCTCCACTCCTCCAAACGTCTTCATGTTGTAGTGCTTAATGATATTTAACAATACCCCTACCTGAATACAAATTTAGAACAACTTACTTGGTTTGTATCTCTTAACAGTTATTAGAAATGCTGTTGTCTGTGCTAACAAGTGTCTGGGGCTGGTTAGACCATTAGGAGATTCACGGAACATTCCAGAAAGCCCACAGAAAGCAGAAATATGTATTTTCATACAGAAGCAGTAATGACTCAGCAATAACAAGGCAACCTATAATTAGATGTTTGTTTCACATAACTTCCTGGTTTCTCCAACACTGACTATTGGAAACTCGAAACCGATGGCTCAACATCGACAAACAGAAACCCCAACTGCATTCAACAGCCATACAATTCTGCTCAGTACCCCTCCTCAAATACTTTGCTATGCATTTACATCAGTTAAAAATATGACTCCCTTCTTCTTTGTACTCCTTCAATATACGGATTCTGGACAGATTTACCCATAAAAAATCTCTAATTAAAACAAACTTTATTGCTGTTTATGTTATTGTAGTAAAAAAAAAAGTTAAACTATCACTGTAACAGACCGTGGAGGCCCATAGGGTTGTGAGAGGTCGATGCGCCCACATTTTCTAGACAGTTGGGTTACAGATGGCGGTGAGGTTGTCAGACTTACGTGCCGGCCACCCTTTACCCTCCAGGAAGATTCCTGGTACTCATTTCTGTTAGAGGCTGAATCGGCCTCAGGGCCATAGTGCGGTTAGAAGGATTAGGTCCGTTGAAAAATCACATATCTCATCGGAAATCGAACCCGCGACGTTCCGGCTTGTAGCACAATGCCTCAAACAACTACTCTACCTCTTGCCCCCCTGAAGTTGTAGTTGTGTTTGTTCTTGCTGCTATTATTGTTTCACATTGTTTTTTGACGTTTATATTGTTGACATTGTCTTTGTTGTTGTTAGGTGGCTTATTTAACGACGCTGTATCTAGAACGTTGAGATGACTGATGTATGATGAACTTTAAAAGGATTTGAAGCTAAAGAAGCTCATAGTGTAATCGAAATATTATCCAGGAACTTTCCTTGACAGACTGAGGAAAAACCACGAACAAATTTCAGTGACGACAAACGGTATATCGAAACAGATTTGAACCGAGCACCCTCCGGAAACGTATAACCCTGTTATAATCCGTAGACGCCCGGCAATCCTTATTTCAGTTATTTACCTGAACCAAATCAACTACTCATTCTGATGAGTACTGCCAGGTATAAAAATCCGGACATTATTCACTAGAGTCCCAGTTCCCTTCTACTTAAGGCTCTGTTTGCACTATTTATTCACTCTCGACTTATATTTATACCCTGAAGATGGAAGCAGAAGAGTCCTTCGAAACGTTTTGTTTACATATTAAGGCGGCATATCCTAGAAGGAAATAATCATCAAATGTTGGTGATGGAAATATGATTTTCTGAATTGTAAAGCCATGTAGTTCGGACACAGCTAAGCTCGTATCAGTTTATTTCGGCTTGCCGCCTACTTCTGCTGGTTTATAGACTGGCTTACTCCTCGACCCTGAAGATAGAGACGATATTTTCTTCCCGAAACGTCTAAATGTCTCCGAATAAAACTAAAACCCAGAAAACAGCACTCCTCATAGCCCTACCGTTTACTAATTCGGTTTAAGCAGAATTTAATTAGCTCACGATAATTGCATCATCAATTTTGTTAATATACGCCAAACATGAGCAAGACTATCTCTATAATACTTTAAACTTAATCCTTTCCTCCGTGGCCTTTAGTCCATAAGCGAACTATGCCGACCGAGCGATCGCCGCTTGTCGGCGAAGTTAGTGCCAACATTTGCGGACAGAGGGTGTCGCATGGTCAACGCAACGGATTTCGACGGCCGTTACTTTCAGTTTTCTAGACCGGAATTTACACTTAATAAAACACGATATTATTAATACCATAATATCGCTGCCAAAGAAAAAGATATCTCAGGTCGTTTTCAGCCCGCGGGTTGCAGTTTGCCAGATCCTTCCCTAAAGTGAGAATAACCCTCAGTCACAATAGACTTCGAACTATTACCATCAATCGCAATATCGACAGGACTTACTTTGCTAGAATCAATCACCTCAGTTCTATACTTCGAAGAGCATTCAAATGCAGTCTTCCATCATTACTCCAGTGGAATCATTTGCTAGTTAACGACAACCAACTGGAGTCAAGATTTATAAAATCGATAGTACGCCTTATGA